GGGGGGGGGGGGGGCGCGCAGGTCACAAAAGGCACCTGGGAAAACGTGCGCCCCGAAATCGGCCTCCAGCAGGGGTCCCCTGTCGGCGGCCAGCAGCAGCTCTCCCCACCACAGCCGCCGGAGGCCGATCGTACGCAGAAGGTTCCCCACCTGCGAGAGCGGGGCATTGTATTCCGCGGCGGGGCGGTCTTGTGTGCCCCGGGCGTGGCCGGCCCCCGGCTGAGGCACCTTCATGCGGGGCAGGGCCCGCTCGCCAGGGCTGAAACGGCATACGAATGAGACAGGTTAAGCACAACGGCATTCAACAGCATTCGGCAGCCATCCGGCCAGACCCCCATGGGCCAACGCCATTGGCGGGCTATTGTGCCACGGCTGCCCGGTTCGCGGACGGGTCACCGCCGTTGTACCTGCAGCCTCCCCGGTCTAGAATCCCAGCCTCCGTGCTACAGAAAAGAGAAACCCCAAAGGAGCGCAAAGCCACCCTCGCCCTCCCCGCCTGGCGGGCGGTCCCTTTTGCCCGGGGGTGTTCGAGGGAAGAAGGGCACACATGCGCGGCATGCGCCTCGGGGCCCGGGGCTCCGATGTCATTATGTCCTCCGCGCCTCCTTGGCCCTGCATTTCCCCGAGGACACAATCGCCTGCTCCCGATCGGGGGGACGGGGGCGCGGGAGGGCCGGCGCCCGGGACCCGTCCACGGTGGGAGCATGCCAGCATCTCCCGGGGCATGGACCGGTGCGCGGGACACCACCACCGCCCCCCTTGGCCTGGCCAGGCGCGCGCGCGGCCACAACGCAGTGCGAGGAGTAAAGTCATTTATATATGATACAAAATCAGGCGGCAGAGAGGCGCGCGGCTTGGGCCCATGCCTCGGTGGCATGGGCGTGTGTGTCTGTGTGGAAGAGAGGGGGGCAGCGCAGAGGGAGGGAGCGGGGCGAGGCATTCCGCGTGAGGACGTCCTCTTCCCCCCGGGGGGGGGGGGGGGGCCTGGTCTTCGCCGGGGCGCACATGCGAGGGTATGCCGCCAGGGGGAAGCCAGGAGGGGAAGAGCGAGGAGCGGGGGCGGGCGGGGATGGCAGGGGTGCCGACACGTGCGCGCGACAGCTCGCTGCCGGCCCCATGTACGCACGGGTGCCGCCGGACATGGGGGCCCTTCTCGGTGTGGCTGCCCGGCCCCCCGCTCCTCGCGCGGGCTCTTCCAAACATGGCAGGATGCAGCCCCGGGCTGAGCTCTCGGGCCCGGGTGTGTGTTTGTGCGGGCACGCGAGCCTGGCTCGCCGGCCGAGCGTACGCCCCCCCCCGCGCTCTCTCCCTCTCGCTGCCTCTCGCGCTTCCTCGCTCAGGGGCCGATCTCCGGGTCTCCCCGCCGCCTGCTGCTTTTGCCCTGGCGGTGCGGCGCGCTCACGCGTCCGGGGCCGAGGAGTCGTCGGTGCCCTCGCGCTTCGGCGGCGCGCCCGGGGCATTGGTCTGGTCGGCGCCAGACGGGTCGTCGGTGTCGGGCATGTCATCCCCGGCGCCGGCGTCGGTGGCCTCCTCCTCCGGCTCCTGGTCGTCCTCGTCGGCCGGCATGTCAATGCGCTCGAAGGAGTCCCCGGAGGAGGACACCTCGGCCTCGCTGCCGGCCGAGCGAGCCGCCTGCCGCTGGGCATGCTGCTGGGTGACGGAGTTGACCGCATCGAAGAGGGCCGCCTGCAGGAAGTTCTCATCGATGAGGGACTGGCGACCGCCACCGCCGCGGCCGCCCAGGCGACCGCCAAGCCCGCCGAGGCCGAAGCCACCGACCCCGCTGCCGGCCAGGAGCTGGTCGCCGACCAGCGCATCGGCCGGGCCGCCCGGCAGCTGCCGGACAAAGGCCCGGAGCTCCTGCACCGAAGCCGCGCTCGGGGGGGCCGGGTTGCTCAGCATATTGCTGGGCTTCAGGTAGGTGACGTCCTCCTTACCGGCGGCGGCGCCGGCGCGCTCGCGCACGATCACAATGCCGGTCAGCTGCCCCGGGGCCTTGGCGGCCACCTCGAAGCGGGAGCCGGCCGCCGGCGACAGGGACACATGCCGGACCAGGGCCGGCGGCACGCGCGCCGGGTTGGTGATGGTGGTGGAGGTGGGCTCCTCCGGGGTGGCCGGCGCCGCCACGGCGGCCGGCGTCGGCTCGGCCTCCTCGAACTTGACCTTCTTCTGGCCGCCGGCCGGGTTGACCACGTCGACGTCCATCTTGGCCGGGGCGCCGGCGCCGGCGGCCGAGGTGCCGGCCGCCATGGCGGCCAGGTTGCCGGAGCTGGAGCTGGGGCTGATCTGGCGACTGGGGGCCATGCTGGCGGCCTGGGAGGCGGCGGCCGAGCGGGCCTTCTCGGCCAGCGTGGCGCGGGCCTTGGCCCGGTGCGTGGTCGACAGGACGGCCGTGGCCACCTTGGTCTGGGTCTTGACCTCCTCCTCCTTGGCCTGGACCGGGTAGGCCAGCTGGCTGGGCCGGGCGCGGACGTTCAGGGTGATGGTGGGGATCTGGATGTGTGTGTGTGCGTGTGTGCGTGTGCGTGTGTGCGTGTGTGTGTGCGTGTGTGTGTGCGTGTGTGTGTGTGTGTGTGTGTGCGTGTGTGTGTGCGTGCGTGCGGTTGTCGCATGTGTCAGTGGCGTGCATGCAGAGGGGGGATGTGTGTGTGTGTGCCCCGGCGGGGGAGGCCGAGACACACGGGAAGGCAACTGGCAAGGGACCAGCGAGGCAAGGACGCACGCGCAGCTCCTCATCCGCCAGGATGACCCCGGTCGGGACAAAGGCCATGGACAGCATGTTGATCAGGGGATACCAGAACCAGAACTGGCTGAACAGCAGCAGGCCGACCGAGGCCGCCGGGCGGACCGACCCGCCGACACTGCTGGAGGCCAGGGAGATGACCACATTCCGGCCGCCGGCCTCCAGGATGCCCTGGGCGATGACCGCGCCAAAGCGAGCCAGATAGGCCTCATGGCGCTCGCTGATGCAGTTGGCGATGTGGGTGCGGACCGGGCCGGCGCGGGACTCCGGCTGCTGCTGCATGACCATGGCATGGCCGATGACGGCCGCCTGGCGGACCAGGTCCACCGGGTCGGCGGCCAGCTTGTCCAGGATCTTGCTGGCGGCCGAGCTGCCGGTCCCGGCACAGGCCATGCCCAGGGCCATGGCCGTGCCGTAGCGCACGTGGGGGTTGTACGAGTCGGACAGGAGCTGCACCAGGCGCGGGCAGGACTCCGGATCGCGGAAGAGCAGGAACCCCAGCGACGAGGCGGCCGACCGGCGGACATCATCATTGACATCGCTGACGGCCGTGTGCAGGAGGCGCTGGATGGCCCAGGTGTTGCCGGTGCCGATGTACGCCATGGCGATGGTGTGCACCGCGCCATACCGCATGAGGGGGTCCTTGTCGGCCAGGAGCTCGTCCACCAGGCTGTCGGCCTCCTGCTCGGTCTCGTGCATGATCATGGCCACGGCGAGCATGGTGCCGCGGATGATCTTCTCGTGCTGGGTGTCGCGGGCGACGTCGAGCTGTGTGTGTGTGTGTGTGTGTGTGTGTGTGTCAGGGAGTTGGTGCCGACGGGGAGGGGGGCTGTGTGGTCTTCATCATGGGTGTCTGGGCCACTTGGCAGCCACCGTGTGGAAGGGGGCGAGGGGGCGAGGGGGCGAGGGGGCAGTGTGTGCGCACCAGGTCGGTGACCATCTCCCGGTCGCCGGAGCCCAGCATGATCATGCCCAGGGCCAGGGCGGCGGCCTCGCCTGAGACCGCCTGGTTGGTGTAGAGGTGGTCCATGAGGGTGCTAGCAAGGTCTGGGCGTGGGGAGGGGCGGGTGCGCGTGCGCATGGGACGCGCGAGGGGGACAGAGAGTCAGAGACGGAGAGACGGAGAGACGGAGGAGAAAGGGGGCGCAGAACAGCCGGGCCGGGCCGCGCCCCGCAGCGGGGGGCCGCGACCGGCGACAACGCACTGGCATCCTTCGACCCCATGGCCGCAATGCCGAGGCCCAGGGCCGCGCCGTGGAGGATGGGCTCCGACTCGCCGGCATTCATGAAGGCCTCGTGCAGGTACCCGACCACCGGCTGGCCGAGGTTGGTATGGATCAGACCCAGCGCATACAGGGCACCGCCCTCGGCGTGCTCCGGGACCTTGTTGGAGGCGCGGCCACCGCTGCCGCCCGAGGAGGAGGGCCCGGGACCGCCATTGGGGAAGGGCAGCCACCGGGACAGCAGCTGGAAGGCCTGGTCCAGCCGGCCCCGGTGGAGGACACCATGCGAGGCCACCGCCGAGAAGCGGTTCCAGTTGATGACCCCATCCACCCAGAACCGGTTGCGGATGAGGAACCCCTGGCGGGCGGTGCCGGCCGCGGCAATGGCATGGGACATGATGACGGCCGTCAGCAGGGCCTTCGGGCGCTGCTCCATCTTCTCGCGGGTCTTGTCCAGGGCCGCGCGGTCCATGTTGCACCGGTGCAGCAGGAACGCCTGGTTCAGGCGGTTGGTGCACATGCCGGACAGGATGAGCCGGGCCTTGGCCGGCAGCGGGAGCGAGGCAAACTCGAAGGGGGCCGGGATGTGGGTGCCGTCGTCGGCCTGGGCGGTCTTCATGCTCTGTGCGTGTGCGTGTGTGCGTGTGTGTGTGTGTGTGCGTGCGTGCGTGCGTGCGTGCGTGCGTGCGTGCGTGCGTGTCAGCAGGTGGACGGCCCGGTTACCGGGAAAACAGACAGCGGAGACCGAGGAGGGGGCTGGCCCCGACGCACAGTGCAGTAGGTGACCAGCGGCTTGTCCTCGAGGGCAAAGTGCCTGGAGATGCCGGCCACCAGGTACCCGAGGAGGTCCTGCGGGGCGCTGTCATAGAGGTCGAAGCAGAGCTGCAGGATGGCCGGCACGTCGGGCCGGTCGGCGCCCAGCAGCCCGGTAAGCAGGTCCAGGGCGTTGCGCCGGTCGCCGAGGCGCACCAGGCAGGCGAAGACCAGCTCGTAGTCCGGCTGGGGGAGGGCCAGCAGCGCGTCGCGGATCAGCCCGTAGACCGTGTGGCGCAGGGCGCGCCCGGCGCCGCTCTGATGCGAGCAGCTCCGGAAGGCGTAGCGCGCCAGCTCCAGCGTCTGGGCCGGGTCGGCGGCCAGGGCCTGCTGGATGATGTCCGTGCGGTTGGACTCCAGGGCAACGCCGATGACCTTGGGTAGGGGGGGGGGGAGGCGGACACCGGGGTTAGTGATGGCCAAGGCGAAGCAGCGGCAAGTGCCATGTCAGGCGGCGCCCGGGGGCATACCTCGGCGTAGCGGCCCAGGCGGATGCTGTCGGCGAAGATGCGGTTCATGGTGGGCTCCAGGTCCTCGAAGGACAGGGCATACATGCCGGCGGCGTCGACCTGCGCCGGGAAGAAGCGCGGAGCCTCGGGGTCCTGGCCGGTGGCCTCGCGATCAGCGGCCTCCGGGCGCAGCTGGATGTAGGTGTCGATGGCGGAGACTGGGGGAGCGAGGGGGGCGCATGAGTGTCGGTGTCGGGGCAGGCGCCCAGGAGAGGGGGGAGGGGGAAGCGGCAGGGCCAGCCCACGCACTGAGGATGGAGGTGGTGTAGCCATCGCGCTTGGTGAAGTCCAGCTTGGAGCCGGCCTTGATGGCGAAGAAGAGAGAGTCGCTCGACTCGCCCAGGTGGTAGTACAGCTTGGAGAGGACCAGAGCGGCGAGCTCGCGGTCGGGGAAGGCCTGGTCCTCGAAGAGCTGCTCGCTGTTGTGCGTGCGCGCGCGTGTTGGAGGGGAGAGGTGTGAGTGGCATGCGGGGCGGCAGGAGAGAGAGAGAGAGAACGAGAGAGCGAGGGGGCGACAGGGCGAGAGGCCGGCATGCGCGCGGGGCGGCCCAAACGGACATCTTGGAAATGGACTCCGACATCTCGACCCAGTTGACGTCGACGATCTGGCTCAGCTGGGTGAGGCACATCAGCTGGAGGCTGTGGTTGTCCTCGTCCAGCATGGACAGGAGTCCCTCTGGGGGGGGGGGGGGG